ATTCTGTTTCAATATACAAAATATTCTCTGGAATGAAAGAGGTTAAAACACGTGCTTATGTTAATGAAATTCCCAAAATGAATATTTACACAAGTGAAGATAAGTCTTCATACATGTTTAGCTTTGCAGCAGCCTGGGGGAAAAGAGATACATATTTGGTGCCAAACTGAAGACATTTCATTGTGTTTTTGTGGAAATCATCATCCATATTGCCCATCCTGACTGCTAATATAGGATCCACATATCTTGCAGGAAGAAAAAAGTCAAGGAGAGAAAATAAGTGACGTGACTGTGAAGGTAGTGAGGCACTGGAACAGGTTACCCGAAGAAGTGGTAAGTGCTCCATCCCTGGCAGCGTTCAAGGCCAGGCTGGACAGAGGCTTGGACAACACAGTCTACTGTGAGGCATCCCTGCCCCATGGCAGGGGGCTTTGGAGCTAGATTATCTTAAGGTCCTTTCCAACTCCAACCATTCTATGATTTAGGCTCCATAAAAAGAACAAGGTGCGGCAAGTTTCCTTTTCACTTCAATGGGACTGAAATTCATCATTACATTATTCTTGCATCTCACGTTCTTGAAGCTACCAGACCAGCTACATTTTCCTTGCTTAACCTAATTTTTCATCATCTCCTATAGAACAGTAGACCCATGAGCAACTCAGGGAAACCAAATGGTCACATTAAGCTCAGTCCTTGTGAATCCATAACCTTATTTTGTTTAACATAGTTGTGAAGGCCATGTACCACAGCCTCATAGTCCAGAGCATGGAAACCACTATCCTAGCCCTTCATTATAAATACCACAGTTATCAAATATAGCCAGTATTGAAGTTCACAATAGACCACAAAATTATACTTGCTGGAAAAGCCAGAGTGGCCCTCTATTTCACTCACACCTGGTTTTAATCAGTATATTTGCATGGAGTTTTGGCTACTTGAAGCCATGTACTGGAGATGACACTATACACAGCACACAGTCCTGGAACAGGGAACCATAGAAGCAGGAGCCCACTGCACTGGCACTATGCTCCCTGTCTACTTTTCCACACTGGCAGCTTTGTGCTAGAACACAGGGTATTTTTCTCCTCCCCTCATTCACACAGATAAAGAACAGGAATTCCATATTTAAAAGTCCAAGGAAAACATGTCAGTCAGCTATCAAGGACAGTATCATGCAATTTACTATAAAAAGCATCCAATTAACAAAGGAAATATTGTAGGTAGGGCAAAAATACTAAGCAGTAAGAAAGTGAAATAAGCCATGACTAAATAAGTCAACTCATTAAAATCTAATTATGTTTGCTGAAAATATATTTCAACATCACATTGTACCTTTATATTGCTACCACACAGACAGAGTCTTCAGGGAGTTACAGTCAGAAAAGGTGCATCTTAGTTCTTACAAAACGTGGGTGTAACATACATGGCAGCGGGGATGGTGTGGGGAAAGGAGGAGGAGATGGAAGGAGGGAGGCAAAGCTGCCAATGGTTTCTAAATAATCAGGCAAATACATGTTGCAGTCTCCACTACCGGCACAACTTTGGTGTTAAGCACCAAAAGATTCATCAGTTGCTGATGCAGAGGAAGCTCGAGATAAAGGTGATAGAAATGTTGAGGTTGCCTCAGTCCTGCAAGCACCTTCTCCTGGCTATTGACTATTTCAGAACTTTTAACCTGTCTTGCTTGCCATGGCACAGGTTCTTTCCCCACCTAATGTCCTGGTTGGCCTAGAGCTTTAGAGGCCACCTTAAGTCTTGTTGTGACTTGGTAACCAAAAATTCTTATATGTATTTTCACTCAAGTTAATCCATTGTTAATCCATTTTTTTTACTTGCCCAGGCCTTCGACGCTATGAAATGCTTGCATTCAGGAGAGGACAGCATTAGACGTATCAGTTGATCCTAACACTATTTAAAAAGTCAGAAGATTAACAGTGCTTTCTCCCTTATACATTTTGACATTTTCTAAGTAAATCTATGTAAAAATAAGTAGAAAGGAATTGAAACTACTTTGGGTAGTTTTCAAAGTTCATGTCGTTCTGTTGCACAAGCATCTGAAGTTTGACTGCTAATAACATACATCACTGAATGGACAGACTGTACTCATACAAGATTTTGTAAAACAAAACAATAAATTTCTCTTTCCCTTTCTAATAAAAATTCTAACAGTGGTACTTAAAATTGCAGATAACTTTTTGTACATATGATTGTGATGTTGATGTTGGCTCCAAACAATATATACCCATGTCATTATGGTTCACTAGAGCATGAGGATGGGGGCCAAATCACACCCTGCTTCATCGCCCTGCTGGTTCAAGGAGTTTTTCAAACCCCTATGGTTGGAAAAAAAATAGAAGGCAAATATAAAACCACCTACATAACAGACGGAAGATGCTTGTTTAGGAAGCAGATTATTTAGGACTATTATTTAGCAGATGATTTAGGAAGCAGACCTTCTATTCCTTTTAGTAAAATACAGATGTATGCACCTACTTTGCAGTTGATGTTAAAAAAAACAAAACAAAAAAACCACTATAATTTTGTACCTAATTTGACTATACTAAAAGAGAATACCATCCCAGGCAATTAAAATCATACTAATGTACAGGTAGGTTGAAATGACTGCAAGAAGTGCTAATTCAGCAAAACTCAGTTTTCTTTCCACTTACTTGGAAACAGGTATTATCTTAATTACCCATCATTAAAAAAAGGCAAAAAAAAAAGTAAAGCATGCCTTATGAATTTACTCCTAGTAATTTGAGTCTTAGATTTGAAATGCTGCCTTTAAATATTTAAAATGAAATATTATTCCAGATCTTGGTACTAGAGAATAAAAACATTTTTTCTTTAGAAAAACAACTTTGCCAAGTTATTTTGTCTCATTTGAATAGTATTAAAGTCATGCTTGCACATAGTTTTTCTTGGCATCCTTGTTATATTGCAGTAGTGTCCAAAATGTAATGACAATTTGCACATTTAAAAGATGGGGGTTTATTGTGCCTAATAAAACATATGAATCTGTAGATAAATCTGTAGACAGGGATTGAAATAACTACGCTTGAAAAAGCACTATTTGCAGTTTCAGCTGGTGATTGGTTACTTTCTCCTGAAATACCAGCAGACAAATCATTTCAATTATTTAATGCTGTACACAACATGGTACATCAAATCTGGAGGTAGAAGTACTTTGCTTGTAGAACAGGAGCAGCTTAGAAATAGCCGTGCACTTATAGGCTCCAATGTTCCTATGCTTAACCAGTAACTAACATGAAAAAAACCCTATTGGGCTGGAAAAGGCTCCTGGCAATAGTAAAGGAATAAATTTTTGCAGAAATGTTTTTAATCATCCACTCTCATTTAGAAGACCACAGTTAGTGATGACAGTTTAGAGTTAGTATAAAGGTATTCAGACAACTTGAACACATCAGCCCAAAAGTTTCATTCTCTCAAATCTTCTTTGGCTCGCACCTACCCTCCAAGGTACCTATATTTCTTGAAGGGGTTAAGGAGGTGGCTGAGACTCTTTCTGCAGAAAGGGAAAGATTTGCTTCTGGGCTTGCTCATAACTGCCCAAACCTTGGCAGAGCTGAACAAAGAGCATAGTCCCAAGCCCTGCCAGGATCTACAGAGGTGGTGATCCCTTTCCTTGCCAGGTTTTCTCAGCCTACAAAGTCATCTTCTTTCTTATCATTCTTATTTAAGTACTTTGGAGAAAAAACAACACCAATCCCCACTTTAAATCCTACCTATCTGGGAGAGAAGTCAGCCTTCTCCTCTACACGAGCAGCACCACTACTGAGGCACTGGCCAAGGAAGAAAACACGGGTTTTAAAGTCCTAGCTCTGCTGAAGGTGATAGAACATGAAAAGGACTAACAGGGTTACGGAGCTCTTTGGCATCTTTCTCCACAGACAGAACTTTGCTTTTGTGGAGAACTTCCCAGGTCAGCAGGAGCAAGAAAGAAAGAGATCATAAGCCATCTTACAGTCAATGTTAGATAATCAGGTCTAGAGAGTACAAATGTAACTGCATAACCTTAGAGCATTTATTCAGGATAGGGACAACTGGCCAATCACATTGAACATGCCATCAACTGAATGCCTAACTGAACAAAACCACATTGAAAACTTGGAATGCTCCACCACAGAAACTTTGCCACTCCATTGGTTAAACCATTTCTGCTGGAGATAATTAAGTAGGGTTCGAACCTTTCCATTAGAGAAGGGGCTTCAGCCTTAGTTTTTTTGGAACTTGAGCAAATATTCTAACCCCTAACTTGATTTTTACTTTCCTTTTAGGAAGTTACTATTCCAACAAGGTTTTCTTTCTGAGAAGCTTATGAGAGGTACACACTACTGATGAGATGGACACACTGCAGCCACATTTCTGTTCTTTTAAAACAAGCTGTCTTGGGAACAGGCCTGAATTTAAACACAGCTCAGTATCTCATTAAGTGTCTGATTAGCTGTACTTGCCAGATTATCACATTTAGTGACACTGGATCTATTAAGTCTGATGAAATCAAAAAGAAAACAAAAAGGAAGGCTGGAAAAGGAGTGCCAGAAAACAGTACCTGCCTCTGTCTTACAGTGTTTCTTTCTTAAGAGCAACCGGAGGTTGCTGCGCTTTTAAAATTGCCATTTCAAAACTTTCTGGATCTTGGCCACAGAACATTCTTTTCAAAATTGCCATGCACACAGATCACTCAGATATGGGATGCACAGGAACAAAACAAAACAAAAAAAAAAACAGAGAAATATTATATAGCTGCATTTTCTGACTTTTCATACAGGTCATGGATAGCCTGTGCATAACTCTAGCAACATTCTTTAGCCCTCAGACCCCACAAGACATAAAATCTAAAAAAAAAACCATTAAATAACCTCTTAATTTTCTCAAAGGTTACATAAATATATTAAAACATTTACAGTCTACTGTGTTTTTTTCCTAGCCTTCTACATATTTCAGATTTTCTTACTTTAAACAATAAATACTCTTACCCTTTGTGACAATGAAGATCACAGCTCAGCAATTTGCTTCTTTAAAACAAGGACACCTTACTGCCACAGGAACACAAAGGAAGAGAAAAATAAGAAGCTCACAACTATCTCTGCTACTGCAAGCACACTAAACTGTATGCTGAGGGCTCAGCTTGCAGTAATTGCATGAGCTGAAAGCACAACAGGTGATTGCAATTGTTATCAGCTGAAGAACAGCACCAAAACATAATTGCATCCAACTGCTGGATAACTACTTCAGAGCTCCAACCTGCCTCTGTCCAACTCTTTAAAAGTGCAGGCCTCCAAAACATATATTCCTGCAAAGTGAGGGGATAGAATAGCCTTGGGAGTGATTATCAACATTTTCTTTCTAGTTTAGTAAATTAATTACTATTATATCAGGTGGGCACCAATTCTGGCACCACCTTTGTTTCAAAATATTCCCGAACAAACAAAAACCAACAATGACATTGCCCCTGCAGTGATATGAATAATTTCATCAGAAACTAAGCCCTTCTGAGATTTGTCAGTGCCTGCAGGCACTCCCTGTCTGCATGCAACAGGTCAGCAGGACCTCCAGGAGCTCTGCAGAGCCCAGATCCCAGAGGAGCTGAAGAGGCTGGCTGCTTACATTCCCCATGCAAGGACAGCCCAGCCTAGAAACAGGCCCTAATCAGGCCCTAAGAAACACCTGGGGGAAACAGGCAGGTGTCGCAAATTCAGCCTTAGGTGCCACTGAAAGAGGATTTTTTTTTTTGCTTTCTGATAAATACTTCAAAAACCTTGAATCCTTTTAGGGTCTTCTCTGGAGTGGGCTACAGTTAGAAAACTTGGTGTTACTTAATTTGTTTTCTGATTAATAAGGGGAAATATGAACTGCAGGAAATAGATATACAAACCTCCTTACCTGTCAGAGATGTGATAAGATTTATCTGTGATGTTGGGGTTTTTTCCTACACAGGCAATGAATTATTTACATAAAAGTTACACTTTCTTATATCTTGCAATCCTAAAAATATGTAAGAAGCAAGTCTTAAAAATTGGGGAAAGGAATTCCTGCTCACCTTGCATGTTGCAAACAATTTATTTTAGCAAACAGTTTTTTTACTATATCTCCTCTCCATTTGTAGTTCACTTACATGTTCCGCATGTCTTTGGGTATGGCTACTAGGTATGCCTGTTTTAAGAGTTAAATGCAATCCTGAACTATTTATATATTGGAAAATCCCAATGCCAACCTACCAACTTCTCATGAAATTAGTATATTTATGGCTTAATATTCCAGTACTTAAAATAGACATAAGTTTGAGATCCATAAACTCTTATGCCATGCATTAACTAGTAATTGTAATGCAAATAGGTGGGGTTTCTCCTTAGAAGTGGTGGAATTAATACCTCTTAGTTTCATAGGTGCTAAGAATTGAAGAAGATGCATATTTTTGTGATACACTTTTGGCACTGATTGATGAGTCAATTTTCTGTTTTAAAAATATAGTTGCTGAAATATAGTTAAAATTACATTATTCTGCATCTTCCAGTTTTGGTAAATTAACTTGCTTTGTTATTCTTATGAAGCTGTAAAGTCATACAATTTTTCAAAAGTGAAAATCTGATACAGGAAAATTTCTGCTTCATAGGATGAAACAGTAAAACAAAGTAATAACACTAATTTTCAAGAAAAAGAAAAACAGTTTGTACAAACAGCAGTTGTAATAACTTAAGAAAGAACTGATGTAAGATGCAAAATTAGACCCCAGAACTGTTACTGCATCCTGTACTTTACATTGTTACTGTACGTTGCCAGAAAGAACAAGCAAATAATTTGTTTTGGATTTATTTGGTTTGGTTTGGTTTTTTTCTCACAATCGTTTCTACAATTTTAAGAACATGGGAATCTTTTAACTTTTACTTCAGGTTTTCAATTTTTAGATGTTATGTTACCAATGAACTTCTGTTTAGCACAAATAAATAGCAGGATTTAATTTGGATAACAGAATCTTGACCCTTTGTCAATTTCATCAATAAGCCAAACTGAACATAGAGAAAACCATGCACAAAACACAGTTACACATTTCTGAAAGCCTTCTTCTATAATCAAATGGAATAAGCCTTTCCAACAGAGTGCCTACTTTCAACAACAGTGGGAAAAAAACCCAGGGTCACTGAGCCAGTGGAAATTCCTTCACCTTTCCAACATGTCAGCAAACAAATTAAAAAAGACAGCTGAAAGCCTTCTGAAAACACAAAATATTGCAGAACCAAATAGAAGATGTGTGTAGCCTGCAATGCACAGCAATGGCAGTAACAACCTTTAGCAAGAAAAAATGCTGAGATCAACATGTGATCCAATGCTTAAGGAGTGTTATATGTTGATTAATTAAAAATTAATCCTACTAGTTGGAATCAGAGTGTAAAATGTGCCATCTATGAATAAGAAGTGGATCAACAGACAACATATGGCCACAGGTGGCTTTTATTGCATTCTTTGCTGTAAAAACAACATATTAGTATTATTTTGAGTACGTAAACCTTGCCAACCAGTATCCTTAGCAAAAAGAATGGAAACTTATTTTAAAAGCAATCTTAAAATCATGCTACTACCTCTCAGATTAATAATCACAGTTTGCTAAAAGACAGCATAAACAAATCAAGTCTATTCTTAGCTTTGTAATCTTTCATTTTTAAGTCGGTGTGATGTTTCAGTTTAATTTCAATCATCCAGACATTAAGAAGTCAGGTAAAAAAGTTTCATTGCAGTTGCTCTTGCTGATAGTGTTTGTCTGTGTTTTTTTGAATTGGATTTTATTTACCCTGGAAGGGAAAGCTTACACTTCTAAAACATGCACAGAAAGCTATGACCATCCTTGAAAGCCACATGTAAAGCTTAGAGGCCTCTGAAAACACCTAGCTGGTCTCCTGAAGTATTATAAATATTATTCATTGAAATATATATTAGTTCACCACATTCCTCGTAGCAGCCAGAAAAAAGGATGAAGCAGCAGATGGTATTTCTCCAGAGAGTAAAACTACTGGTGAAACAAATAAAGTTTGCTTTCAGCAGCAGCCAAACAAATCCTGCAGGTTAGAGTAGCAGAGGTAGAAACCTGGGCTGCTATGGTGGCTGGGGACACAGTATGTCATATGGACCTCCACATATTTGTTCTTGCCTATCCTCCAGCTCCCTGCTGCAGTCAGTGAGTGAGGTGAAAAGACCAGCAAACTCACTCTTGTTGGCTCCTGTCTCAGCACACACACAACACTGCTAATGTACAACATAATTGCTTCTGCAATGGCACACGCAGCAAGGACGGAGAGACCTCTTTGTCTGCATGGTTCAGATCATAGCCTAAAGCATGAAGTTCAGCTTCCCTTACACAGCCACATATTTCCTCTGCAAGATAACTTTGTATAAATGAGGACAAAGACATAAACAATGAAATATCCCTCCATGCAACCATGAAAAATTGGAACAAATTCTCCTAACAGGAAATCTGTTACCTGACATATCTTGCATTGCACCTGATTAAAATCAAGCAGTTTGGAGGCAGATTCTCAGCTGTGATATAGCTGTATTTTGCAATCCTGCATTGCTGCACTTCTGGCCAATGACTGCAGTCAAGGAGAATTTTACACAAAGCCTAAATCAGGGCAGTCCTCAAATTGGTTTATGGCTTGTGGAAGGCAGCCCAGTCTGCAGGGGACCACACAGCTGCAGAAATACAGGAAGTGAAAAAATAGCCCACTGTTAAAAACTTGTTGATTCTGAACGTACATGAGAGTAACTGCAAACTAGCTTAACCTGGAAATATCTATCTTCACTTATCCATTTGAAAAGTCAAGGAATTTAAGGCGTCTGGAAGTGAGAAAGAACGCCACTCTCTTCCCCCAGCATCTTGATAGCAAGTAGCTCTGATGATGGGAGTAATATTATTTCAAGCTTATGGTGGTGCATCTAAGAAAGCAATGGCTTCTGGCTTCCTGACCCTTTATATTTGCATTTCAGAAACTATTTTTGCACCATCTGTGATCCTGTTGCAATATCTACATGGGAATAAATATTACGTTCAGACTTTATCATAGATAAGACCACACATGGCAGAAGGCATGAAGAATGAGTTCCCTGGGGCCCTATTCCCAGATGTGGCTGAGTCTTGTCCTCTGATGGGTAACCAACTGATCAGCTGCTGCAAGGGCAGCTTCCCCAGTTCCTGCTCCCCGCAACTGGGGGCAGGGAGTCTCCCTACTGACAGAGGAGCTGACAGGGAGATTTTTATGGTCATCCTTCTGTAATACAGTAATATCTTTCCACATTCCCAGAAGAAAGATAAACTGGTTCTACAGCCACTTTGCACCAGACCAGAACAACACAATAAATCAGTAATGCTTTGTGAGGGCAGGGGATGTGAACTGTGGTGCCTGGTTCAGGTGTTTCTCAGTAGCTTTCAATACAATATGCAAAGAAAAGCCCTGTCTGAAGATGCATCTACAAAGCTAGCCAGTTCATTGCCCTTGGGAAGCAGGGACCTCTTGCATCACCCTTCTTCCCTTCAGAGTGCTTTGATTTTCGTAGTATGAAAAAAACACCAGACCTATCTATATTCAGGCACAGCTTTTGCATAGAAATCCCTGTATAGCAGGCAGCTTTCTGGCTTGTTTTTCATCACAAATCTCACAGAAGAGCAGCAGTTTCAAAGACTTTTACAAGGAAGCCTCAGGGCTTGTTTTTCAGTCTTCAATGGATATGTTTGGAGCATGGTATATGGAGGTTGAACCGCCTGACTCCCATTAACATTAACAGAGTCAGGAGGCTAAATGCCTACACACAATTCTGATGACATACCCCAGCGCACGGCAAGTAGCCTGCTGCCATTTTTAAGTCCTTTTGGATATGATGCTTCCCTCATCTGTATCAGGGTGGCAAGACAAAACAAAGAGGGACAGCCTAGTCTCGTTCAGCTGAGACATTGAGCAAAGTGCAGTAACTGGAGGGGTTTGCCTCGATTTATAACAGCATTATAAAAACTAATTAAGGAAAGCCATAGCAAACACAGACTGCTAGAAAGCTAATGGTTTAACATGAAAGAGTAGGCTAGCAGCTACAAGGGATTCAAGGTCAAAATTCTAGGATAGTTGGATTATACTTGCTCCTTGAAAAATACAGATATAGGAGG